CTTAGCCAGCCAGGGTAGCACATAAGGCGGAAAGGGGAAGCCAGGCGACTTGGCAGCGGCGACGACGGCGGCCTGCTGGTGCTGCTGCCACACGTAGTCCATGACGAGGTTCCTGGACAGCGGGAGTGGCAGCTCCGGAAAGGGCGGGACCCTGGGGTGCGCCGGGGGCGGGTCGAGGGCGGGGATCTGTCCCGTGGGCGACAGCCTCGGCCGCTTCGTCGGTATAGGCGACTCCCTGGAGGCGGTGCTTAGCAGCCGCTTCCTGGTGCCGCCGTTGAACATCGCCTTGACGTCCTCCCAGGCGTGCACCACCTCGTCCGGCTGCTCGCCGGACAGCTTCATGTGGCGGCGCCACGAGTTGAAGTTCGCCGCGTCCGGCTGCACGTACTTGTCCGACGGGCCGATCCGGTGCGAGTGGAAGATGAACTTGTTCGGCGAGAAAAACAGGCCGCAGTACGTGCACTTGATGCACTTCGCTCGCGAGCTGTTGTAACGCGCCGGCAGGAACGCCCCGCTGCAGCCCCACGCGCACTCGTGGTGCACTGAGAACGCGAAGTCCTCTGGTAGCCTTTCGGGAAGACGTTCCGTGAATTTTCGGGTTTGATGGGATTGGAATGTGGGTTTGTCGGGATTGTTAGGGTGTTGTTGTTGTTGGTGGTGTTGATACTTGGTGGTTGTAATTGGTGTTGCTGTTATTGTTAGTTCTGCTGCTACTAATAGTTAATAGTTGTAATAGTTATTGTTGTTATTATTATTACTGCTACTAGTACTCAATAGTAGTACTAGTTATTGTTGTTGTTATTGTTACTGCTATTACTACATAAGAGTAGTAATAGATGTTATCGTTGTTATTGTTAGTAGTGCTACTGCTAATAGTTAATACTAGTAATAGTTGTTGATATTGTTGTTGTTATTATTATTATTGTCATTATTACTGTTACTACTACTTAATAATAATAATAGTCGTTGCTGTTTTTATTACTATTATTACTATTACTACTACTGCTACTAGTTAATAGTAGTGATAGTTATTTTTATTATTATTACTACTATTATTTAATAGTAGTGATAGTTATTGCTATTATTATTACTATTGCTAATTAACAGTAGTAATAGTTATTGCTACTATTATTACTACTATTGTTATTATTGTTATTATTATTACCGCTGCTACTACTCAATAGTAGCAATAGTTATTACTATTATTATTACTACTCCTACTGCTACTTAATAGTAGTAGTAGGTATTTCTATCATTACTACTATTACTACTTTTTAACAGTACCAATAGTCATTATTATTATTAAAAATTGTTTATAAAATTCAAAAAACAAATTTCGTGGTACTCAATGGCTTAATAATTGCGAAAAGAACGGGTCATTTTTGACCCTGGCAATTCTAGTGTGAACCATTTTCTCTAAAAATAAATTCCAATGGAAGTCAGACCAACCTGGGCGGCGCGTTGTCGCCGAGGAACGATTTGCAGAGACGCTCGGCTTCCCTCCTCGTGATCATGCCGCACCGCCGCGAGGAGACCGGCATGGCACCGGCACGTCTCAGGATCTCGAGCTGGACCGGGGTGCATTGCACGCAAGTGATGCCCAACGCGACCCTGCGGTTGTGGATCTCGTTGTAGCTGAACTGCTTGAGCAGCGTGTTGCTGATCTGAGCGAGGCACAGCCGCTCCTGGCCCTCGATCACCAGCGAGACGATGTGGATTCCGTAGAGCGACACCGTGCCCACCTGCAACTCCTGTGGGTTTAGGTTCTCAACGTGGCTCTTCACCAGCATTGGTAGTTTAGGTGCAGACCGTGGATCTTTGGGCGATTGATTCTTTAGAATGATTGGGGGAATGTTAAGAATTAGGAGATTTTCAACGTGACTACTGCAAGAAATTTTCGAAAGTAATTAGGGGAATTATAATGAAGAATGGGTTTTCCTAAGACATTTCATAGAAATCATGAAATTTTTTATATTTTGTATATCTTCTTGCAATTCTATGCAAGTTTGCACTTCGAAATTTTCCCCATAGACGCATGAGAATCCACAGCATGTTATTTATAGTGACACTCTATGGGTTTAGGTTCTCAATGTGGCTCTTCACCAGCGTCGCTAATTTGGGGGAGGCTGTCGATCTTTAGGTGATAGGTTTTTGAGGAGAATTGGGGGAATTGTAATGGAGAGTGGTTTTTCTTAAGAAATCTTATGGAAATCATTGAATTTTCTGATAGTTTATGTATCTTTTTGCAATTCGATGGTTTTGGGGGAAGCTGTGGATCTTTGGGCGATTCTATGCAATTTTGCAATTCCAAATTTTCAATTTCAATTTTCAGACGAATGAAAGGATATGGGTTTATGGAATAAATTTTCGAGAATAATTATTAAAGCAGAATTGCAATGGAAAATGGTGTTTTCTAAGAAAAATGTTATGGAAACCATTAAATTTTTGATATTTTGCATGTATCTTTTTGCAATTCTGTGCAAATTTGCAATTTCAAATTTCCCATAAACGCATCAAAATCTGCAATACATTGTTTACAGAGATAGTCTATGGGTTTAGGTTCTCAACGTGAATCATTACTGCAAGATATTTTCAAGGATGATTAGGAGAATTATAATGGAAAATGGTTTTTCTTAAGAAATCTCATGGAAACCATTAATTTTCTGATAGTTTATTATCTTTTTACAATTTTATGTAAGTTTGCACTTTAAAATTTTCCATAAACCCATTAAAATCCACAGTATGTTGTTTAAACTGACAGTTTATGGGTTTAAATTTTCAACGTGGCTCTTCTGTTGATCTTTGTGCGATTGATTTTTTAGAATGATTGGGAGAATTATAGTGGAAAATGGTTTTTCTTAAGAAATCTCATGGAAACCATTAAATTTTCGATATTTGCACTTTGCACGTTTGCACTTCCAAATTCTCCATAAACACATCAAAATATACGTATCTAAATAAAACACGATTCACGTTACTCTAATATTTCAACAACATTCCATATTTAATTAAAATAAACCATTCGAAATCTATTTCTATAATCAACTGATTTAATTCATACAGTCTTCATTTTAATCTACTTCAAAACAATTTAACATAAAACAACTGACAAAATCGTTTGTTCAATTCTCATTTATACCATTTTCATAATTAATGAATTATACATATCTAAATAAAACTCGATCCACGTTATTCTAACATTTCAAAAATATTCCATATCTAATCAAAACCAATCATTCGAAATCTATTTCTATAATCAAGTATTATTTAAATGAAAGATTGAAATGAGGACTAAAATGAAGACTATATGGCTTAAGTTTCATAATTATGGAACACATATATTTCTAAGGAAAATTTGATTACAGAAACAGATTTCGATACACGTTGAATGGTTCGGTTTGATTGAACATGGAATGTGGAATGTTAGAGTAACGTAAATTGAGTTTTATTTAGGCATGAAGTTATTGTTATATATATGAACAACTTCATACCTAAATAAAATTCGACCCACGTCACTCTAACATTCCAAAAATATTCTATACTTAATTAAAGTAAATCGATCAATCTATTTTTACAATCAACTGGTTTAATCCACACAGTCCCCATTTTAATCCACTCCAAAACAATCCAACGCAAAACAACTCGATACCTAAATAAAACTCGATCCACGTTACTAATATTCCGCATTCCATATTCAATCGAGCCGAACCATTCAACGTGTATCGAAATCTATTTACACACAGCACTCCCGTCGAGAGCCGCGTGTGCCACACACTGTGAAGAGATATATGATACCTGATTGGATTTCGAATGCGACGGCGGCTGCGGCGATTGTGCTGATTTTTGGGGCGCGGTTATCGGCGGTAGCGACAGCACCGCCGGCCCGTCCATTCTGCAAAAACAATCAAACAACCAATCAGTTTTTTTCTATCCGACCCGGTGTCCGACGTTTTATCGGCCGTTTAATAAATTAGCGGACACGCTAATGAACAGTTCTCAAATTACATTCGTTTACAATTTAAATTCCGCCCAGAGAAGCGGAACCCGCGCGGGCAATTTGTTTTTATCGTGATTGTGCTCGTGACGGTTCGTCGATGATTTCGATGATTTCGATGATTCTTTGTGGAATGACGCTGGTTTTACTGGGATTTTTCGATTTTATGACGATCGTGGAGTTGAATGTGGGGATTATTAAAATTTAATTGAGGGAGAATGATTGAAGGAAATTTGCAATATTTTTCTCAATAAATATTCATTGTTTCGTATGTAATACGTGCCCAATGGATTGTAGAGATCGCGATGATTAAAATGAGCCCAAACACGATAGGAATCGGAGGAGTTTTGTGGTTTCATGGAAACGAGCCTTTAGTTTCGTTAATTACATGAAATTCGTGAAACTAGTCCGATTCCCATCGTGTTTGGGCTCGTTTTAATCAGCGCGATCTCAGCAATCCATAGCTACAACATTGGAGAAGATAAGGTTAAAACTGCTACAATTACAAAATAATCTAACATCGAATTATGTCATTAAATTATTACACAAAACCACATAAATACTATGCCATTGAAATTTATAATCCCAATTAAAATAATTCACAATAATAATTAATAATAACAATTAATATTAACAACATTCTTTCATTATATATTATTTATTTCAATAACTCATAATAATTCATAATCCTATCGTCTCGAATTTTATTCTACATCCTTAACTCCTCCAACTGATCACTCACTTTAACCCTCGCAGTACATTATGATTATTTCCTATTTTTCCACATTAAAATCTCTCTCTCTCTCTCTCTACGAACTTGTTAATTACAATCACTAGAACCTATACCCCATTAGTGGCAGCAATAGTGATCAGCTTTCGGGAGTAACGCGTGGTCCCCAAGTGTGATTAACTTGCTCGGGAGGACCATTTTTAATCGTCGCCGTTAAATACTTCGGTAATTACACCGAAAGAGAGCCGTTGCAGGAATTAAACCCCCATTTGGTAAAGTCGTCGCATTCTGGGTCTTTAACGAACCTAGGAATTAAAAGGACCGAGTGCTTCGTTTTCAGACGGCTCCTTCTAGCCAGGTTTTTTCAATGACATTAATCGCCTGCATTAGAACCGACGTTCCCAGACGACGGTGTTCTGAATTTTACCGCCACGGCGATAGGTCCGCGAAATTATTTATCTGATTTAATTACTTTCGGATTTACAGGTACAGGATTAGGTTCGAACAACGTCTGTGTCTCGTCGGGAAATCTTGAATATTTCCAGTAAACAACTTTTGAGTGTAAAGGGTTAACCCTTTATAATGCAGATATAACCTTATCTTCTCCAATGTAGCAGCTATGGATTGCTGAGATTGCGCTGATTAAAACGAGCCCAAACACGATGGGAATCGGACTTTTACGAATTTCACAGTTTTACGAATTTCATGTAATTAGCGAAGCTAAAGGCTCGTTCCCATGAAATAATCAGACTTCTCCGATTCCTATCGTGTTTGGGCTCATTTTAATCGGAAGAATCTCAATATTCAAGAATCGGACTAGTTTTACGAATTTCACGTAATCAACGAAGCTAAAGGCTCGTTTCCATGAAATAATCAAATTTCTCCGATTCCTATCGTGTTTGGGCTCATTCTGATTAGCGCAGTCTCGACAATCCATTGGCACGCGTCACTACCGGAAGCTGATCACTATTGCTACCACTAATGGGATACAAATTCTACTAATTGCTAATAATAACAGAATAAAAATGAATAATTAGAAGGAAAAGCAACAAATACCCATCATCTATTTGACAAATCAGACGACATCACTCACCACACCCATCTCCTAAACCGAAATCAACCACGTTCGACCTCAAAAAATTGAATTGATGAAATTTCAATTGCAGTAATGTTAATTTTATCTTCCCAAGTCTAGTATCATTGAATTCCTGAGATTGCGCTGGTTAAAACGAGTCCAAACACGGTGGGAATTGGACTAGTTTTACGAATTTCATATAATTAACGAAACTGAAGGCTCGTTTCCATGAAACCATAAAACTCCTCCGATCCCTATCGTGTTTGGGCTCATTCTAATCAGCGCAATCTCAACAATCCATTCGCACCCCTTACTACCTTTTGCCATCACTGACGGACTACAGATCCTATCGATTGTAAATAACAAAAAATGAACAATCTCCTCAACAAATCGAACCACGCTCACCATCAATCCCTCGGCCCACCCACACGCCGTTTCACAGAGCTCCGTAAAACTCAGACAAAGCCGCAAGAAAGCTACAAAGTCAAGCTCGGCCCCGTCATCGTCATCCTCTTACCAGTCGCTTTGACGCAGCGAGCGCGCGCGGGTTCCATTAGTTTAACGCGCGGCGTCTCCGGCGGGTCGGCGAATTTTTCATGAGAGCGTCGAAATAAAAACGAGCAAACCCGTCGGCCGACCGGGGAAAAACGACGCTCCGATTTTCCAGGTCCCTCCCCCGGCGAGGAACAGAGAGGAATCGTCTCCGACGCAGACGATCGGGGGGGAGGGCGACCCTCGTGTTGATTTTAATTGAAAACGCCTCCATGAAGATGTACTCTATACACCGTTCGCTGCGCGCACAACGGTGCACGCGGATAAAACTCATCTACAAGCGGCGGCCTGGCGCAGCCGTGATGTAGAAACATAGCGAGCGAGCGAGCGTCCCCCGGGACGGAGCCGGGGGGTAATTCAATTTGACACCCCCCACCCACGCTTAAACAAGGCAGCGCCCGTCCGACCACCTTGCCTCGCCCCCGCCGGCCCCCTCGCCGGCGCGCGCCGT